TAGCTGAGTGGAGCAGTGTGCAGTCTGGACATAGCTTAGTACAGCAGAGATGCCACGGACACCATCAGGGCATTTCTGGCACACAGACACGTGCATGACATCAGGAACAGATGTTGCACATGGAGAGGTCCATCAAGGGACAACAACTCTGCATCAGTGCATGAATATTTTAGACAGCTTACTGCTGTACTTATCAGCAAAGACACAGCTAGGCTGGCCAAGCACCCAGTCAATCTGATCTTAAATTTTGGGGATGCTGTAATCGCATTATTGAAGAAGAAGGGGAATATGCACAGTGGATTGATGAGACGCTGGCTAGCAAAAAGAACCAAGCGAAGCTGCACTTTCTATTTTTATTAAATGATAACAAAGTCTTTATCAGGTGTAAAAAGAATTCAGACTCTTATTTAAAAAATGTGGCCTGTATCTGAATCAAAAATGTATCAGAGCCACAGAGTGCGTGGCTTCACGTCCTTTTTGTAATGATTTCGCCACTACAGCCAATACAAGGGAGCCACTATAGTCATGACTACTGTAATGTCAGACTGCAGATCTTTCCTATATATCAGTAAAAACTGAGTTAAACAGAAACATTCCTGTAATCCACACCCATCTCTAAGCACAGCTTGATCCAGAAGCCTCAACCTCTCCTTGACCCCCGAGGAAAAGAATCCCTCAACCGGATCCCCAGAGGGACTTTCATTACAGACAAAAACAGAATCCATGGGTGGCCAGAGTCATATTCTGATATTAGGGCAAAGGACATGGATTTGATATGAGCCTGGAAATAGTCCTATAGACTTCAGAGCCCCTGGTCCGCGTTGAGCTTTTAATGGCCCTCCTCCTGCTCGTCAATCACACATAAAGAAAATGCTTAATTGCAAATTTTAAACTAGTGCAGTGGACTGACGTCATATTATTGGAGTAGGAGAGAGGGGACAGGTTTTGAATTGCTTGCAGGCTGGGCAGATGGATACAGCCCCGCAAAGGTATGTGTCCTATGAGTTATGAGCTTGTAGCAGCATTCAGAGTTATAGTTGACACAGATCAGCTCAACATTCAATATCACAATTACAGTAAAAGCTGGTGTAATGTTTCTCGTATGGATAGCAGCATAAACCTTGGACCCCTTGAGGAACCCAAACACAACGTGGACATACACTACAGTATACAGAGCAGGGATGTTAATATTCATCACTCTGGCAGGCTATATTTCTAATCTCAAGATCTAGCTTATTAATTATGATACACATCCAATTAGGGGAAAATTATTAGTGTGTTTAACATCAAACCATGATTTCGCTCCATATACTTGTATAAAATGTTTTATAATGTATGTACGATAGGTGTTTTTATTGGAAACTTGAGTTTTTCCACAGCCACAGAAGGTTTTGAAACAAAACAAAACTCACATTCTTCACATTCTAGCTCTCGCTATACCAAGTTTACTTTAGAGCGAGAAATGTCTTCTTTACTTGTGGTAGATAATGACGTTGATTTTGTTCCGCTTCATTTTCATTCAAGCTCAAACACATGGTGTGTATCAGTATGAAGACATTTTCCTTCTCTTAAGTTAGATCTGAGAAACCAAGTAGACAAAAGAGAAACCAAGTGATTGTAGTTTTATGGCTCAGCATGCCGTTCACCACAAATGACATCTCTTTTTTAACTGACCCCAGGTCAAATAGGGACTGGGATAATATTTTTTTTAAATTATTCTCATTTCCCTGCGAATCGCATTTCCATATATCTCCACTTCATGCCTTATTTATTACCTCTTTACAATTACCATGCAAACGACGTCTTAACTGTCACCCCTTTCTCCCTCTGAACAGTTTAGTAAATATCAAACCATATTTATTATTAATAAACCCACTGCTGAAAACCCCCTTTTTATCTATAAATTATTCACACGCTCAAAAGCTTGGGGAGTATGGGCGCCCTCCATTTGATGCCATGGAGGCCAGCATAATTAAGACTATTGGCTCAAGCTCATGCTGGTGGTGACGCATGCATCATCTGTTTTGCCCTCTTCTCTCCGTCCATCTGTGTGAGCCATAGGAGATCATACATTTCAATCACTGCGTCGTGCCCGGTGACAGACTCTGCACAATGGATGTTGATTTTATTATCACAGCACCAAGTAGTAGAGGCACCCTGCTGTTTTACGGCTAACTCACGCCCCCCGCCTTAAGTCACTCATTGATGGTTTTACACGTGCACACTATAGCCGACACACACACACAACCAAAAAGCACAGTTTCTGTTGATTATCCTCTGTCTCTCACGTTGAAGTGCCTACACACAACCTAAATCACACCCTGACAACAATTTTTTTTCACACACAAACACAGACACACACTCAGATATGCTCATTTAACCATGTGCTCACTCACACTAACCTGGGTTGGCTTCCCAGCTGTGCAAGCTGTTTCTTCCATCAACATGTGTTTACTGGCAGGGGACCCTTATGTTTGCATTACAGGGAGGCAATAAACAGAAAGGCCAGCCCTGGGGTTTGAGAACTACTGTTAGGAGTGTGGGGGGGGAGGGGGAGGGGGGGGCGCCGCATGAGGAGTGAGCCCTAGTCATTGTGTGGTTCAGCTTTTAATTAATTGCAGCTCAAAATGTCAAAAAGAGACTCTTATAATTGCAGATGATGCTTGCTTGAAACCACACTCACTGAAGACCTCAGTGTCCAAATGTACACACTTTGATGAATTTTTCAGTCTTGTGGAGCGCTAACCATCTGGTTGAGTTAACAGGGCGCGTGTGCGTGTGTGTGTGTGTGTGTGTGTGTGTGTGTGTGTGTGTGTGTGTGTGTGTGTGAGGGGAGGGGGTTAAAATTAAATTAAGTCATTGCTTGGTACAATATACAATTGAAAGACTGATTAACCAGATGACTGCAAGGCCTGGTATTTTGGTTAATCAATAGATCTTTGAATAACTAATGAATGACATCAAAGAACGAGCCTATAAACAGCCACGGGCAAGTGATAGACCGCACTGTTTTTATCTCTTTATGAAAGCTTTGGCTTTTGTTGAAATATGATAATGACTTTGTTCTCTACTGTTCATTTTAGCACCCACTGTATGACAATGAACAATATGCTCATTTTAGATCAAACTGCACCTGGAAAAAAAGGGTGTTTTGAGAGAACTTCAAAGAAGATAATTTTTTCAAATAAAATGCTCAGTAAGTCCATATGAATTCTAACTACATAAACACTGAAGGTACTTCAGTTCAAGAGCTGACTGAAATAATGATACGTAGGCTGAATAACATTAGTTGTTTTGGTCAATCGGTAAAGAGAAGACAAGTTCATCAACAAATGTTGTAAAGTTGACAGTTTTACTGGTTTGATACCATCACTGTTGATTTGTTCTTCTACAAGTGTTGATGTTTTAGAGTGAAGTGATCATTACACCATTTGGCAAAACATCTGCAGCTGATCGTGCAACTACTCATACGTAATTCGCCTTAATTAATTTCCAAATCTGTTGGGTAATGAAGGGCAGGGATTGAATCAGAAACCAATTTTCAATTGTTACATTTCTTTTAATGAGAAATTGATCCACAATTGGCAAATGAGACAGTTCTGTGACTTCAATAAGAACAAGGAAAAGTTTAAACTAAAGCAGTTCTGGGAAGTCCTCATAATGTTTTTCAGACCTCCATATATGAGGTTAAGCGACTGATGTAGTATTGAGTCGGGGTCTCTTTAAATCAGGAAGCTGCAATCATAAGGAGATTAAAGTAAGTAAAATGAAACCATTTTTCATTTATATATCTAAAAATGAGGAGATAGATATTTTTGTGTGTATATTTTGTTGATTTGTGTACTTATATAATCCAAAATGTTTCCAACAATGTTCAACAAAATCTCCAGTTTTATTCAAGGTAACAGGATATTTTGTTTTGGTGACCTTTTTAATGGTGTCATATGTGCTTTACCTGTGGCTTTGTCCATCTCTGCTTTAACTTCTAGGCCAAACGACTTATGATGAAGGAAAAACACATCACAAGCCAGTTAGCCAGACGGCTGTTTTTTCCTTCCACTGTTTATATCTATAATGCATCACGTTTATTCATTGCTGTTGGTTGCGTGAAGAAAACTCTAATGCATGACCTCAACTGTAAACATGATTTGTGCCTGAGTCTTATCAGGAAGGTTTTCATCAGCAATAGCTGTGGTGACAACAACTCCCATGATCCCACGCTGCCACACAAAGTTATCAAACTAGGTCTTTTGATATCATTTTGATTGAGAGACCCCCAGTGGCTGAAGTTACATATTGACATACATTAAGCTGTAAGAGTTAAAAATTCTTAAAATTAACATGTATGTTGTGCAAGCAAGTGTTTGACCTCTTTTACACCAAAATGTAGCATGTAGCCTATACGCAGGCTTTTCATACGCAATAAACACACAGTTTGTCTTTTAGTTTTTCTCTTGTGCATTATGTTCAACATAATGAACAGCACCAACAACTGAGGTACTCTTTTACCTGGCTGTCTTGTTTCCATCACTGCCGATCAGAGACAGAGCCAATTAAAACCTGGGTCAACTGCAGAGCCACTTGACCTGGGACTGAATACAGAATAAATCAATTCCCATTGCAAACAAAATCCAGATGTTAGCAGGTGTTCCTGAGTTTTTCAACCAGTGGAAAATGGGGGCTCTATATTCTGTAACATGCCTATTATAGATGATTAGGTTATTACCATATTCTACATTTTCCAACAATCCCTGGACCATCATTGTCTCTCCATCATTATTTTTTTAATTAGATGTTAAAGTCTCCACGTGGGTTTCTCTATCTTAAAATGCAATGACTGTCATTTCACTCGGAATAAGTGTTTTAAATACCCTCCCCACGACGCCCGCCCAGCCAATAGCGGGTCCCTGGGGGCGGGGGCCGCTGGGCCCCCCCTGGCAAGCGTCTGAGGCAGAGGGGCTCCTCCGAATCAGCTCCTGCCAGATTCGGGGTATAAGCTACTCCCCCCACCAGATGACTGTCAGTGCGCATTTCCTATTGGAAAGAGGCAGCGAGAAGTAAACGGAGGAGACCGAGAGGGGAAGAGAGAGTGTGTGAGGGAGAGAAGGAGAGAGATAGACCGAGAGGGAGTCCAGCGGAGAGGCAACTTCACCCGGGGTTTATCACCGCGCGGTGCCGGAGAGGAGAGGTCGCTTCCGAGCGCAGCATGATCGAGCTGGTTAAAAAGTGACCGTGGACGAAGCATCTGACTGAAGCGCCTGTTGGCTGATGGACTGCTGGAGAGCACAGTGACAGGTGACAGAGAAGGGACCCGGAGGAAGAAGATACAGCGGAGGAAAGTTATCAACTATGGAGATGCTCTGTTGACTGAGACTTTACGCACTGCTCGGACCATTTAGAGTCATTTCCTTGGACTGGATTTTATTACAGACGATCCCAGTGCGCTTGTCCGTCCGGTGATACCACAACCAGCCCGGTCGCGTATAAAGACAGAGCGAGCGGATCCTTCCACGCAAAAACAATCAGCGGCGAGAGCAACTAAAATGCCTGCGTTATACCTCATCTTTTGCCTTATGGCCACAGGTAAGACGCACTTTTTGTTTCCATCTCTCATGCGGGGCTTTATGGATGGAGAGGATGGACCGCGCTCCGTGCTGGCGCGCTGCGTCAAGCCATCCAGTGCGCTGGTGTAGAGGGGAATCTAATCTGCTGCAGTGCCACACTCCACTGCTGATAATTGCCGCTAAATGTTTGATTAGTTTTTAAAAGAGTGATTACACCAGGAGGCTTCGCTGCCTGCGAGTCGACCCGCAGCACCGCAGAATAATGCGGGGGAGCCGTGATTGTTTCTGGTGCGGGTTCGGACGTGTGACAGAGACGGTCTCTGTTGTAGTGGATGTGCACGAGGCTACGGGTGTACACGGCGCACGAACGGAAAAGAGCACGAACTTATTGAATTTTTAAACCCACGGTAGTTATGGGTCCGGACTGCAGCGCGTGTGCGTATCCACCCATGTGTCCATCCACAATAAAATATGATTGTGTTTTACATGAGGATGAAATGTTTGAATATTTAAGCGGCTGTGTGGAGATAAAACCACTGAGACATGTGGCAGCGCCGCGCAGAGATCTCGACATCTCTACCCCTCCGAAGTTCAGCGGTCCCCACGTTGATTTCAACAAAAAACTAAAGCGAGCGCTTTAGGACTAATGAAACGATGTGAAAATGGGTTGATGTGGTCCGGATCTGAAGCTGCTCTGTTTGAATTGTACTCCAGCACAATCGTGGACGCTGTGAATGGTGCGTAAAATGGATTAAAAAAAAGGTGAATGGGCTGCACGGCTTCGCGAGTAAAGGCTGCGTTTGTGATGGAGCAAGACAGATAGATAGAGCGAGAGTGGGAAAGAGAAGGAGAGAGTGGGGGAAGAAGGAGAGAAAGCATTTGTTGTTGCTGGAGATACAACGCACCTGTCTGCCCCCATATACCCCCTCACCCCTGCTGCGTTTTATTGAAGATCTGAGTTACTCCATTTGTTAATGAACAATAGTTGTACTCAAACTACCCAGTATCTATAGATATCAAAAGTACGAGGAAAAGGACACACATAATATAAATATAAGCAGTTTTAAAAAGGTTTTTTTCATTGTGTCATATAGACACAGAAAATAAGATCTATGTTTTTTCCCGTATAAATAAATTCACTATGAACACACAGACGCTCTGAGCAGCTGGTACAATTTACTCTCATAATTTAGTGCTGCAAATGTCTTGAATTAAAAAAAAAAGCTCTCAGCAATTAACACTGAGCAACTGTTAACTTCTCAGCATTTTGTTTCAGAGTTGTTGATAAACTAGTGACTGGTGTTAACACTCCACAGCTTCACACTCACACATCTTCTCAGCCTGCGACAGAGGACAGAACAAAGAAATCTTTTCAGGCTTTTAAAAAAACATTTATTTTCCTTGACCAGTCACACTGTGTGCAGGTTCCAGACTGAATCACATGCAGTTTCACATAACTTCCAATATCACAAATGGCAGAGCTTGCTCAATAGCCATTTGTTGTGAGTACATCTTTACCTCCAGGCTCGGTTCCGCATGGTTTTGTCATTATTCAATGCTCGGGGGGGAGGGATTTGACACCAGTAGACCCCTGCTCCCTGACAGACTAGCAACAGCTGGATGAGAAAAGGCGGTAGCCAGACAGTGGCATATTTTCCCCTCAAACACACACACACACACACTTACAAATAATAAAAATGGTAACAGCTGCCCTAATTAGAACCTAAGAGACCCTAGACCTCATTTATTGTGCCAGTCACCAATGCTCATAATTGGTTGCCCTCATAAATGTCTTTTATAGGATCAAAATCTGGCCACGGCACACGGCTTCCCTTTGAAATCCATAGCATAGTGCATAAGTTTTTATGTATGCAGTCTTGTACAACACTGATAATTTACTTTCTCGGAAAGTCCCCTGGCTCCCAGAGGAATTGGATTCCACACTGCATCAGTATTCTGAGTAATCTTCAGTGAGCTCTTCTTTGGAACCTTTTGCTTTGGGTCACCAGCGTCTCATCGGGCCAAGTTCAAAGGCTGCGAGCTGAGATTACAAGTTTTCGCTCCCTTCCTCTTAAGTCACGTCGCCACTCATGTCTCACTGTAGTGAACGGCCGTGGAAATTTTCCACCTTGCCTCTTCTCACAACCCTTTTGCCTGGTTACAGAATATGTGACCATGGAACACAAGCATATGAGAGCGGATCTGCTGAATGGGCTGGAGGCGGCGTGCAGACTTTCACCAAAGGTTTAAAGCCTCACTCACACAGAGAACTGAAATCTAGCTGAGGAAGTTATAAGCCCTGACTGTGCCCCCTTCTCCCCACCCCATCATCCTTCCCTTCACCATTAACACCGATTTGTCTGTTCCTCATGTAACCCAGATCTGTTTGTGGATGCGGTGGCAACATGGCCCAAGTTGTTTGTTTTGGGGAACTGTGCATATTCTAAGAACTGCAGTTCTGTCGCTCTTTGAATTCTTGTGAAAGCAGTAAGGCTGCAGAGGGAGACCGAATTTAAAACCGGGGAGGGGGGTGGAGGGAGGGGGGTCATGTTGCAGGGATAAGACTCGGATGTGTCACCAGTGTCTTGATGATTAAGCTGACAAGCAGCGGGGAAACACTGAGAAAGACCGCTGAGCATCATTAACCTTTTCTCCATCTTGTTACTCTTGTCTCTCTCTGTCACACCAGCGCACAAACTCGCACAAACATGCTGTCTATCACTCCCTTTACTTTTCTCTGCCTCATTCCCAGTATATACCTCTGTGATACCAAGAGACTGAGAATAGGAGAGGGTAAGTGTTATAAAGTTTGGAAGCATGAGCCCCAGCCAGCCGATGAGTTAGATACGAGGTGCAAAGTAGTGCAGACGCAGCAGAATTCGAACACAGCAGAGTCTTGAACACAAGTGTCTTGCATTATTTAGGAGACATAGTCATGGCAAAGTTATAGATGAATTTTGGCCTACTTTGATTTCTTGTCTCTGTGTAATGGTTTTTGCTGCTGGCGTGTTGTACTGAACGTGAATTTAGATTCACTTGCGGCCACAAATCAAATGTAAAGATCCATATATTTTTTGTAGCTACAGCTATATGTTAATCTATACCCAAGATGTGTGTAGTAGTTCTCCAAAGCATTTTGAACAAACAGCTATGACGTTAAGTTTTGAATGTGGTTGTGTTACTTGTGGAAAGCCTCTCGATTTTGACCCTCACAAATCATTTGGTTTTACAGACTCACATTTACACACGCAAACAGGCGGTAATGAATGTTCGAGATCTTAAACAATGGCCTGCTGTTTCCTCTCATCCTGAAGATGTGTCATGCACTCTTGCCATTGTCTTTCTGCCCTTCTTCATAAACAGATATCCTCCCCCTCCCCCTTTCCACACACTCACTTGCTATGTGCAGAAAAGGAGAAACTGGAAGGAGAGAGGAAACAATGGAGCTTCATAATGTTGCCTGTCTCTAATCAGCTTCGCCACACTGGTAAACACAGATAAAGAACTTGGCAGTATGTCCTGAGGCTATCAGCTGTTAGCAACTTAACTGGATGTCTACGCCACTATGGCTAAACACAGGAAGCCCAAGTATAGCCATGCAGGTAGCAAACCATGGATGACACTTGGCCCCTTCTAGTATTATTTTTACCTCTTCCCGCCTATCCTCTTTTTGTCTTCGCTTTCTCCTTGTGTCTGTCTCTGCACATCCTCACCTTGTCTTCCTCGGGGGCAGTCGGAGGATCCGGGGAGGAAATGACAGGGAACAGGACAATGGAGGGGCCGTGTCAGCTTCCTGCCATTGCCTGGAGTCTTCTTCCCCAGCTTGAGCACTTCAGGCTGTATTAGAAGTGTGCAGACTGGTGGGGAGAGCACAAACTTGTTTACTCTTGTATTTTCCTGTACAAATGCTGTAATGGAAAGAAAAGAGAGAGGAGAGAAACCAGGATTAATTCTGTGCATGTCATTAAAACAGCCCCCTGAGGGAAACAGTCACGTTTATACAGTGGAAGCTATTTTAAGAAAGACTTGGATTGCATTTATCTCCCCAAAATATTCAAATGTCACTTCCTTCTAGAGAGATGTATCACCATTTCAAAAGACCCCAAGCCCCGAAACCAACATACAACAGAAAAATTGCAGACATACTAGACTGCACATTCATTTTTATTTTCTAATCAATTCCTGCCCTGCAAGACAGGAATTTCATATCTCCTGCGGAGACACAGAAACCAACAGCAAATTGAAATTTATCTTCTGCGTTGCAGCAATATCTGTTCCTGTGTTATCTTCACCAGCCTTAACCTTGTATTGGAGATGGCTCTGTTGGGGACGGATTCTGGCAGCTGGGAAGGGGCTTAGGAAAAATAAAAGTTCAGTTAGAAATACCATCAGTCAAAATGTATTTAACAATAGATGCTGATTTACTTTACATCTTTTTATTTTCCTTGCATGAAATTTGACTGTCACTCACTAAACAGAAGCTCCGAAGTACTCAGCATAGTGTGCAAGGGCTTGTGGCATGTGCACATCATCCAGAAAATGACTCACAAGGAGCTCACGGAAGCAACACCCTTAACACATATGCACACACTCGCAGAGGTCAAGGGCACACACTGGGGCAGAGGATGATAAGCTGAGATGAGTGTTTGGCATCTTCAGGGCTGTGTGCCCTTTCTGGAGCGATTCGTCAAAGTCCAACTGTCTAATTAATGATGCTTCAGTTCTCAGGACATGTCATCTCCTTATCCAACTAGCGGTAAAAAACACATCGAAGGAAACAAGAGATTGCCTGCCTGCTGTTCACTGTGTTGGTGATGGAAACAGTGCATATGCTTTTGGGACTACATACCCCAAGAATTCATTCCTTGAAGTCCAGCCCCCTCCTCTTTATTGTTCTTTTCATCTCTCCTTCCTCTCAGTTCAAACTGCCAGAAACGCCAGTGCTAATATTGTGTTAGTGACTCAACCATTAACCAAAATAGAGCACTGCCTGTAGCTTAGTCGCTTCTTCTTCCTCTT